GCATAATAGCAAAAACTAGAATTGGAGTTCAAAGATATGGGTTCAAGTGCCAGCTTTACCAAATCATAACCCCACATCCTAAGTAAGTCACAATCTTTCTGGGCCGTATCAGTAAAATGGGAATTATGATACTGACTCTTTACCTCATAAGGATGTGGCAAAGATCGAAAGAGACAAATGCAAAGTATTATAATTATTAATAAGACGCAGCTTGGCATGAGTGGAGTCAGGAAGATCAGGATTCAAGGTCTTCCTGTGGCACTTAGTAGCCGGGTGACGATGGACCAATGAGCTAACCTTTCACTGCCTCTGGAAAGTCTCTTAAACTACAGATTGCATATAAGTACCCTATTTTTGTCAGTGGAGGTTGTTTTTATACTGGGAGTTACCTACTCATGAAATAAATCACAGGTCTAGACCATCCCCACCAAAAAAATCAGAACAATAAAAATGCTTGTGCTGCAGGCACTTCTATACCAAAAATTCAAGTTTGTTCACTATTACATGCATGAGGAAGGGATTCCAGCCTAAATTCATGCCTTCCACCATTCCAAATTTAAATGATCAAATGGTCTGACAAATAGCCTGGCCCCTTTTCCACAGACCCATCTCTCTCTCTCTCTCTTTCTCTCTCTCTCTCATACACACACACACACACACACACACACACAAAATGTGTTTTACACTGTGACAAAAATATGCACAATACTCCATAATCTGTTTCTCCTTGAGAGCTAGAGGCATAATCCTTCTGCCTACAGAGATGACCACAAAGTGACTTTCCTTTATCTCATGGCTAACACACAGCTCATTTAGCTCAATTACAAGTTTGGAACATTCACTGAACAACATTCATACCACTGTACCACAATGCTTTCCCTCTTGGAGAACCAGCATAATCTGTATGGGAAAGATTAAGTCCAGTTTTACCTGGAGGTTTTGGAATGGAAGAAATGATCTCTGAAAGTTTCCCTCTTCCTTCTTAGTCCTAAAACCCATTGCTAATTAGAAATGGAAAATACCTATTAGTTGATTTCCCTTTTACCCATTTGCTCTTACAATTGTTCCCTCTAAGGCTCAATTCAGTTCAAGTCTCTAGTGATGAGCTTTCCCTTGGGACATCTTGGCTTTCCAGTTTGATAATGTCTCCTTGTAAAAAAAAGTATTCCTCTTCCATTTAACTTTATCCTACTTCTTTAAGTGAAATTACTCTTAAAAACTCAGTAAGGTCACACTGTACCCATAATTTAAACACAATGATACTCTATTTTCTTCTCTCCAAATTAATTAATTTCTACCTGACTCCAATACTTACATGGCTTCACACTGAGCTGTGTCCCTGTCCCAAAGGTGAGTTTAAATGTAACCCCATCATTCACACAGTGATTCATGCTATGTTATAAACTCCCTACCTATCTTTTCCTATTTCCTGATTATGCTCTGTTGATGAGTAAATATTACTTATTTAATAAGATTCTGCCCACTTCCCCCACCCCAACTTGCCTAGATAGAGAAAAGTATACTCTCTACGCCTTAAAAAAACAAAAACAAACCAGAACTGCATTCCCTCTCTATATTGCTGGAATAATTCCATCACACTTCAGTTTACTTTGGCTATAGAGACTTGGCTTCTGTGTGGATTTAGGTTGACTGATATCTGATCACCTTGCTCTGTGAAAAGGGATTCTGTATATTCATATTGAACACACTTTGTCTTAATCATCTTGATATGGCTCTACACTCTATGTTGCCTTTGCCATGCTATTCCTTCCATTGACCATTTCACTAAGTCCACCTTTGGAGGACTCTAAAGAAGACCAATTCAAGTCAATCTGTGGAGGGCACTTTAAAAAAAATCTGGATGACAGGCAGAAAATGGGCAGAACTTTGTTAGAGAGACTAGAAGCTTGGCCCCATTTCCAAAGATGAATGTTAAGCCTTAAATTCACACCAGACATGGCATAATCTCCTAAAAAATGGCCCCTGGGGTTTTGCCATAATTCTCTTGAACTGTGTAATGGTAAATTTAGAAAAAGCAAAGTCACTGGAATTCCTGTGGCTCAAGGCATTTAGCTTGAGGAGGAGAAAGAGCTGGGGAAAGATCTGAAATATTCTATCCTGGCTTCTACTAAAATGTGAGTTGAACTGCATTGACAAGAAGCATGATAGAGTGGAAAGAGTATCAGATTTAGAGTCAGAAGACCAAGCTTGATTCAAGTCCCAGCTCTGCCATTTACTGGTCTGCAGCCTTAGGAAAGACATCCCACCTTTCTGAGACCCAGCTTCCTCATCTATACAATGAGGAATAATAGTGCTTTTACCATCCACCTCACAAGTATAAGGTCCCTATCATGAGATCATGTATGTGAATGCACTTTAAAACTGTGATCTACTTTTCACATATAAAATATGATTATTAATAACAATCAGAATAACAACTCTTATGCTAGACTCAGACTCCAAATTTCCACTTAAAACACCCCAGTAAATCCACCATCACATGTTAACATCACATTTCAGCCCATGTTCATTCATTTCATTATTCCAAAGACACTCAGCTTTCTTGATTTGACAAATCGCCTAGTCCCATTTCCATAGACCCATATGTTTCACTCTTATAACCACATCTATATATATGTACATATATATGTATATATATGTATGCATATATATATGTATATATATGTAAAACTCCCTACTTCTATAACCTAATCCTTCTGCCCACAGAAATGAACAGTTATGGACTTTCTTTTATTTCCTGAACAAACAGATTATTCAGCTCAAATTAGTTTTGGTTATTCAGTGACAACATTCTTGCCACAATACTTTCTCTTGGAGAGACTATTCCTCACTGCCCCCTGCCCCCTGAATCTGTTTGGGATGAATTAAGTTCAGTTTTACATGGAAGTTTCTAATGGATGAACTCATCTCTGACATTTTTCTTCTCTCTTAGCCCTAGAACCTTTTGCTAATTAGAAATAGAAAAGACGTATTAGATGATTTCCCACATATCTGTCCATTCCTCCAGTTTTTCTCTCTAAGGTTCATTTCAGTTCAAGTTCCTAGTGATGGCGCTTCTCAGTTAGACATCGTGAGAAAATATTTTATAGTTTGATAATGTCTTCCTTTCAAGGAAAAATATTCAGTGCACACCTACATTTGAATCCTGTCTCAGATACTTGCTAGAGTTATTCATCTTTCCTTTCACTCAGTTTCCTCATCTGAGTGAAAAGAGCGTTGGACTTGACAACTTCTAAGCTCTAAAGCTATGATCTTACATTCTTTCCTGTAATCCTGTTTTCTCTGGCGTCAGCATTCTTACTAAGTACAATCACAATGTACCCATAATTAAAACAATGACAGAAGGGAAGCAGTCTACCAGGGAGACATCTTTGTATACCACCCCCCCCAAAATAATAAAGAAACTATTCCCATTCCTCTTGTTTACCACCTTCAAATCTCTTAGTTTCCATCTGATGCCAATACTTACTTGGCTTTACTCTCAGCTGTGTCCCTTTCCCAAAGGTGAGTTTAGTTCCTGCTCCCCCATAATTTACACAGTGATTCATGCTAATATTATAACCCCCTCTCCTGACCTGCTACCTGTTTCCTGCTTTTACCCTTTTACCCTTTTGATTTAATGAAATGTTCAACACTTAAGACTATTTTTGGCCTGACTTAGGTGAACAAAAAGTATTCTTTCTTCCCAGTGAACAAACCATATTCCCTTCCTACACTGTCCAAATGCACTGAATAATTCAGTCATGCTTTAGTTCACTTTGGCCATGGAGACCTGGCTTCTGTATGGATTGAGGACTTCTGACTGTTTTTCTCTATGAAGTGAGAATCTGCAGCAGAATAGAACAGACCATCACATCTTCACAGCTAAAAGCAGGTCAGGAGTGGCAGGAAGAAGGTAATACCCAAGGGAAGGCAATAATCTAGATAACAAACATCAAACCCACTTTGCCTGAATTTCCTGGACATTTTTAAGCTAAGGGTAATTTGGTACCTTAACTGTACTGCATCAGGGTTTCCTCTTCCACATTATACTCTGGTCATAGGAACCTGGTTCAGTTGCCTTTTCTGTCTTTTCCATTGGTCTATTCAAAATATTCTCTCTGTGGATGCTCAGAATCATTTTCAAAGAAGATCAGCTGCTAACAGAGGGTTATACAGACCCACAGACATAAGTTGAGAAGAAACTTTAAAAATCCTGAACAGCAACAGAACAAGAGAGACAAAATTCCCTTGGGGAAGCTAGAAGTTGGACCCATTGATCACTTTTTAAAGGTTTCTCTCTGTTGGTTCAGCATCACTTTCATTGATAATGACCAATTTAGGCAACTCTAGAGGGTATGCTAAGAAACTTTCAAGAGAAGTAGGAGAGGTACAAAACTTACCTGGAGAAACTAGGAACTTGTTTCCTTTTCCGAAAATGAGTTTGTCAAAATCTTGAGTTAGCACCATGACACAACCCCTTACAAAATAGCTACAGGAAGGGGCAGATAGGTGGCTCAGTGGATAAAGCACCAGACTTGGAGTCAGGAAGTCCTGAGTTCAAATGTGACCTTAGACACTTACTGTGTGACCCTGACCTAGACACTTAACCCTGCTTCATCTATGAAATAAATTGGAGAAGGGAATGGCAAACCACACCAATACCTTTGTCATGAAAACCCCAAATGGGGTCATGAAGAGTTGGATGTAACTAATACGACTCAACAACAACATAGACAAAATACTTCAAGTGAAGCAATGGGGCACTCGTGTGGCTTAAGATATTTAGCATAAAGATGGATAAAATTGGAAAGATATTATGAGAAAAGAATTCTGCCCTGAAAGGAAGATTTCAGCCCTATTGAAATTAACACCAGCTGCTACAGTAAGACTTTAAACTACTGTGCTAAAGATCTCAGGCTTTTTACACTTATATAAAATAGGAAGACTTTTTAGCCTAAAATCATCCATTTCAATCATTTCAAGGACACTCAACTTACTAGGTCTCACAAGGAGTCTGGTCCCTTTCCCAGAAGTCCATTTATAGCCTCCATCATTCACACAATGTTTCTTACTCTGACAAAAACACCCATAACCCCCTATACTCTTTTCCCCTTTGATGGCTGGGGATACAGAGATAATCACACATTGACTTTGCTTTCCACTCAGATAACACAACACTCATATGGCTTGATGACAAGGTTGAGATATTCACCAAATGACATTTCTATATGTTTGTATTTGTTTCTGTCTCTAGGCCAATCACATTCTTTGTTACCATCAGTTCCCTTTACTTGTCAATTGCTTCTCATCATTTTTATCTGGCCAGCCTTTGCACTATATTCCAGTCCTCAATCTCTCCTTAAGGTTCCTGCCAAATCCCCTCTTAATTTTAGCTTCAATAAATCTGCAACTGTACTATAAATCACTTCCAGATCATTGTGAGTATTAAATCTTTTTCCTTTCAGCCAACTCTTTTTGTTATACTCAGTTATAGGCTTGTGACTTACTGGGCCTTATTGATAACTGAATTTTAGTTCCCAAAACATATTTCTCTTTGGCAAAAGCATTCAGCTGGCAAGACATACATGTATATATGTAAATATGTACACACACACATGCATAAGGAAGAAGGCACAACTTAAACACAAAAATATAGGTATATGTCAGAACAGTCTTTACCCCTAAAATGCATTCATATAGACAGACATGTATTAAAATAGTTTCTGTTCTGTAGGCATGTACATGCACACACATATGTAGATATATACATGCATATATATAAATATATGTACACATGAGCAGTTTTTGTGCTTGTGCAGGTTCTCTCTTCTATAACCCTTTCTACTTTTCCCAAGTTGCCTCAGTGGCTCTGAGATGGGCATTAATTTTGGTTTTCTGCTCTATTTAGAGAGAACACAACTCTGACAATAAAATACTATTGAATTTTAAAGGGAAAATAATAACGGTAAGTCATGTTTCTTTGGCACTTTGTAAATCTTGGAGAGCTGCCCTCACAGTAACCCAGTGAAATAGGCAGTATCAATATTTTATTTTTATTGAAGTTCCTCAAACAGAGGCTAGATGACCACTTGTTGGGTATGTTGTAGAGACCCCTTTCTGGGTATGTGGTGGGTTACATGATCATTGTGCTCCCTTCTAACTCTAAGATTGTGTGATTCCATTGGGACCATTTTATAGAGGAAGAAACAGAGGCTCAAAGAGTTTAAGTGATTTGCCCAGGCAATAATATAATGTAGTAGAAGAAGCTGTCTGGATATGGAGTCAGAACCTGGTATTCAGATTCCAGCTCTGCTATACTCAACTAGTATGGATTGGATTTGAGATTCACACCCAAGTACCTGAACTCTAAGCCTGGCACTATCTCTGTCTAACCTCTCTTTAGCTTTATTTCTCTCCTGAATGTCCTACAAGTGGAGGAAACAGGAGCTATTATGTATTTCATTCAATCTCTCTCTCTCTCTCTCTCTCTCTCTCTCTCTCTCTAAGTGATTAAGTAAGCAAACAAATAAATATTGGAATAATGTTTAGGGAACTAGACTAACCTGAGATGATTTGGAGTCTTGTCCCAGTTCCAAATATCAGCTTGTCACTTGTAGAATCCACACTGTGATACAGTCTTTTACAAAATGGCTTCCCTATCTTTGCCTGACACTTTTCATTTGAATAATTGACTATACTACTGACAAGCGTTTATCAGTAACTTAAAGCTTTTAGGGAGGCTCCATCTAACAAAACTCATTTGGATCAGTTATGGGTTTGGGATGTTCAATGAGCAACATTTTCATTTTCATTTTAAACCCACATATCTAGTTCTGTCATTTTGTTTCTCACATTTCCACTCAAAGGTGGCATATCACCTACATGCTACAAAGGAATATCACAATCTAGCATTTTTTCTGATAGGCAGGGTGAATGTGGAAAGGCCCCAAAATTCTTTCTACCTCTCTCTTCAGGGCCAAATCTTTGTTCTGGATGCCGCAGGGGTCTGTTACAATCCTGTTATGTAGAATCATAAGAGACTCTCAGAGATCATCCAGGTCAATATTCTCATTTTATATATGAGGGTCCTGAGTCTCAGACTTGCCCATGGTCATACAGGTGGTAAATAGCAGAGCAGGATCCAAACCCAGGTAGGTGTTCTGACTTCAGAACCATTGCTCTTTCCGTGATCGTTTCTCTTTACTGTGGGATCTTTTCATCCTCCACTATCTTCCTCAGCAAAACTGTCAGAGTCCATGTATCTCATCTCTTTTCTCAAGTGATCCATAGCTATCATTTTTCTATTTCTTCCGATATCTGAATGTTTATGTCTCTACAAGCCATCAGTTTCCTGACGCATGAATCCTACAAACACTGGACTAAATTTAGTTAGCCCAAGTAGTCATATTAATCTCTCCTACTCCACTGACATATTGCCTGCTTATTGGGTTTTATTGATAATTGTGTTCCATTACCAAAGATGGGTCTAACATAATTCACAGTGCTGGACCTCTATTAGAAATGCCCCAGTTTCCTTAATAACACATTAAAGTCCTTATTATGTTCTTGTCCTTCACCTCATTGAAGCTCCTGCTGGAATTACCACTCCTCCACTACCCTTCCTTACTTGAATTAGGATTAAATAGTGGGAACTAACCTATGAGTGTCTGTTTGTAGGGGACAAAATAGTAAGGATGCCCAGGGAAGCCTGGAAAAAGACAGGTGGATGTTCCTTAGAAAACTCTGCCACTCTTTATTCTAGAAACATTTGAGAAATTCCCCAGAAAAATCTCTCTTAGGATGACAACACTCACATATTGTTTTATGCGGAGATCAACACCTGTGCAAAATCTCTTCCTAGTATTATTACATGAACTAGTTTGCCTATCTACAATAAACAAACACATACACATGTATATACATACATACACAAATATATCAGTATCTGTATATTGTGTATATATACACATATATATTCTTCTATAATAAATTTAATGATCTGTTTTAATCATTTAATTTTTTTCATAATTTGATGTAGAAGGTGAGTGTGTGTGTGTGTGTGTGTGTGTGTGCATGCGTGTGCAGTTGTAGGATCCCTGGGATTAGAAAACAAGTAGTCTTTTTTTTTCTTTTTCCTTTTTGTTGCCTTTTACTTATGACTTAACATCTATTGCACCTCCAGCCAAAAGAGAGAGAGATTTGGTTGCTTGTATGATTTCAGAGGACAAGATTGGTACTAACTGTAACATGATCACTGATAAACCAGAGGGTATACTTTCTAGGACTCACTGACAGAGTAGTTCCTTTCCCAAAGTTGAGATCACATCCCTGAAAATTCACACACTGACTCAAGGTACTACAAATACTCTATAGAACACATCATTCCATCTGCTTTGCCTTTGAAGTTTTAATAACAATCACACGTTGTCTTTAATCTGCTCCAACAAAGCCTGAATATTTACCATATCACATTTATATAAATGAAGAATTCTTTGCCAAAGACCTGCCTTGCTAATCTGGAGGAAACGTTTGCCAGGGGAAGGGCAACAGTATTTTTAAAAGTGATTTTGTGATGTTGATGGTGAATATGGGGCAAGCCATTTATGGTATGCTGAACTATAAGAATATGCTAACTAGAAGTACTATAAAATATGTTGGCAAGAAGGAATAATCCTCTCTGATGAAGCAGGATAAATTCTCCCTGAGCTAAGAACTGAATCTTTGCTCCTCACAAATCAGTTTCCAAACAATCAATACCTCAATCAACCAGTGAACCAACAAGTTTCTCTATTGCATTATAGAGGTCCTGCTCCTTGTGAAACTAGCATTATAGAGTTCATGACAAATCTTAGATATTGTTTAAATGAATTCAGTTTAGTCTGCTTGGTTTATCAAGACTCTTTTACTGCTTCTTGGAGTAAAGAAACTCTGAATTCAATACAATACTTACTCAGCTCAACTTTTACAAAGGTACCACTTCCAAAAATCAGCTCTCTTGCATTCATGTTCACACAGTGATCCATAACTCAACAAAAACCAATAGCTGCCTCATTTTCGAACACAATGATTCTCCTAGGAGCTCCCTAGCTGATAGCATCTGATATAACATTAGGCACCTATCTCTGCAGATTCATTAAAATGTGGAATTCACAGAGATCTTGGAGTGAAAGAAATGACCCAGGGTCAATTACAATTCACCCATACTTCTGCCTCCACATAAGACTTTTCCTAAACTACCTTAGATAGAGACATTCTTAGGGGTATCAGGATAAAAGATAATATAACTTCTCTTAGTTATCTGTGTTAGTTCATATTCCTGGAAGTTCTTTCTTCTAAGTTAAATTCTTTGTGAGGTCAAAGCCTATTTCAGCTTGCTCATCATCTTGTTGAATAGCCTTAAAGATGACTTAAAATAAAAAAAAAATTGGAATTCTCTCAGATCATTGGTGACATTCTTTTCCTTACACACTCACTTTCTGTTTCATGATACTTTGAAAGATCTGTAATCAAATTGGTATGGGAACTCCTTTCGCTAATGTAGGTTACAATTCTCCTATGTCTTAGTACCATGAACTGTTATAGAGAAAAAAAAAATCACTTACTGGCCAAACCTCTGGTTGGTCAAACTCTCTAAACTTAGTAAGGGTGGTTCTTGGACAAGTGGTGCATTGTCTGTTATTAGGGCCATACTTAAAGCCTTTTTAATTTGGGAGGCTCAAAATCTTGGATCTTGCTGTGATCAAGTCCCTTCCCCCTTCTGAACCAATTTTCGTTATGTATGAGATGAAGAGATCCCTCCCTTAACTCATTTGGATAATTTCTGGGACAGACTAGGAGACTAGATATGGAAACACTTTCGTTCCCTAACAATGTTCCCTAATATGTGATGGGATGTATTCCACTGATAGTTGTCTTAGAACTAAGATAACTTGTCATGCCATAATAAGGCATAAAATCAGGATTTTAGTGGAAAGCCTTCTCTATGTTGCTATCATATTTATATACACTCACACATTCATGCTGATCACATCAACTCATATTTCCATGTGTGAG